ATTGACTCCAATATATAAGAATCATGACAATTACTTGAGCCTGGAATTCTGCCCTGGCCTATAGCAAATTAAGTTGCCATGTAAATAACAAATATCAACTTTTATGTATATGAAACAAATTTTAATTGAAAGAACAATGTTCCAACACTCTCCCAAATTGTAGTTGTACAACCAATTGGACCAACAAGCACACCATTTGGGATGCCAATTGGGAGGCCAATTGGAATGCACTGTTCCAATGGTTTTCCAATTGGAATGTGGGCAGCCAATTGGACTAACAAGCATTCCAATTGGAGATCAAATGGTCAGCGGTGAACCAATTGGACTGGCCAATTGGAACTATAAGGTCCAATTGGTCTTTCCTATTGAAGTTCAGCATTCCAGTTGGCTTCCAATTAATGCCATTTGGGACCAATTCATGGGAACTGGTATGACCAGTTGGACCCATTCACTTTTTTTGACTGGGTAGAGCCTCGGGCTCTTCATTCTCATTATTATGCAGTTCAGCAACCAGTCAGGATTGTACTGCATGCCTTTCGTTGACTTACGGCGAGCAGCTTGAAAGCATTGCGCAATAGCAAACCTTTGCTTTGGTGGGAGGGCTTGCATTCGGTCAGTAAGGACGTCTTCTTCAATCTCAGCGCTTTTTCGCTGTAGCTGTTCAATGCTTTGAGTGTAGAGTGAAACCTTGGACTGCAACCGACGAGTGACTTGTGCATTTGTTCTCCTTCGCATGTAAATGCGTGCTGCTAGTGATGCTCCAGTGGGACTGCGCCGTTTCTTTTATTTATTTTTGTTTCTGAAGAGCTTTGCGCAAATGTTTGCAAGAAACGCATAGTTTGTCTTCAGCGGAGACTCCAAGACATTTCTGGCTCGATATGGCCGTGCCTGACAGCACGAGCTTTTTATTAGCGAGCGCAAGCGGAAACTCGTGTACAGTGCCAGCACCTGGACAAATGGTCATATCATCGACTTTTCTGAGAAGCAGTGTGGGGTCGTCACACGCAAGATCTTGCTGCTGAACTCCTTTGACATAAACTTCGTGCATCACACAGTCCACTCCTTGTGAAAAGACGACGAGCTTGTCTGCATACAACACGCGCTTATCCTGCTCAATGTGACAAACGCTGTAAGCGATTGTCCTGGGCGAAGTACTCAGCGTGTGCTTTCCCCATGCAGGCGACGGTAAGACCAAGTCGTCAAATGAAGTGCAAAGTTGGTCGTCGGTGTCAGCACTGACGGGTGTGTTGTCGTCCAACGCCGTTTTCTTGCAGGGTGGCGCTGGGGCGTCACTCCTTGCGGCGCGTTTCCTGCTGGCTGGCAGTTTCTTCGACAGGTAATGCGGAAGGTTAGGAAACTGCGTGGGCACAGCTCCCGGGAGTAGCAGAGGCCTACCCCTTTTGATGCGGACAGTCTCTTCGTTCACGATATGCTCGAAGTGTCGAGAGATATACCTCTCGTCGAAGTGCAGCTCGCACACAGCCGAGTTTTTTTGCAGCTGCTTGTCGGCGCGCGGGATCACTCTCCGCCACTGCGCAAACAAAGCTTCGTCCTTTGGAACGCCGAACAACGCATGTTTCATTTTAGCAGATTTATAGCCTGTAGTGCACCCCAGGACGAAGCAGTGACTTTGTTTCCGTGCCATAAGAGTGCACGCAGAAGCATCGGTGTCAGAGTGCCACCACAGAACACCTATACACTATCGTTTGTGCCACCGCAACGAAAACAAACGAGGACGAACGCGCGAAAACGCGCAAGCAACGTTGGATGGATGTAGCTGTACCACAGAACACCTACCTACCAGTACTAAAGTGAGCTAGAATAGCGTAGTGGGCTTGCTGGGGTCCCCTGCTTGACGCCGGGTATGTCACACATGTAGTGGCGCCACCAGCGACTTCAATGTAGGTCACTGCCTGACGGAGGCGTTGGTGCGCAACTGAAATCATGCTTTTTGTGCGCTGTTATTTCATGCACTGGACGGAAATGCACACGAATTTCGGCAGTGTAAACGGTGATGCTGATAAGGCACTAAAAATAAAGAAAGAAAACTAGCGTGGAGCTAGGTGCGTAGGCCGTTGGCCTACATGTGCGCGTAGGTAACCATCTAGAACACTGTAGCATGGTGTATGCAGCTATACTGTTAGCTCGTTATTTGATGTTAAATGAAACATACTGAATACCGTCAGTAGTCGTGCGAATAAAGCTGTAGAAAACATTCTTTTCATAAACTCTGTCGGCGTAACTCGCGCGATTAAACTGCATGCAGAACTCGATGCATGCAAGGGATGCTGTGCAAACATGAGATGCATTTAAATTCTCTTACAAGTGATAACTAGCGATGGCGAACTTTTCAAAGCTTACGTTGTGCGGCTATCAATTGTAAACTGTATTCTTTACATTTCTCGGGCCCTATACTTTCGTCACACACGCCTTTTACGAGCGTGTGAAATTATTACCGATGCTGACCTTGGCACACACTCGGGAGTTTACCACGAGCTCTTAATGTTATACATTTCACAGCATTTAAAAATGTTCAGCTGTTCATTCTTTCTGCAGATCTCCATTATCTTTGCTCTGTAATTTGGCTATTTCTCCACTGAATATTCTTATGCAAAGACTGTAAAAATCCACAGATAAGAAAAACAGTAAGCCACTCTCCCCAAGTAACGGGCACAAGTACATGAAAATTTATTCATCAGATATATATTGGGCACAGTTGCTTACTGGATATTTCTTCTTCAGGAGCAGCGGCTCAACTTTAGATGCTTCGCCTTTTCCCGATCTCTATCAGAATTAATGTCTTTCACAAAACCGCGTAACAGTATAAAAGCTGATTGCGTATTCTGAGAGGCCAGTGGCATGTTGTGAGCACCCAACTTCTTGGGAAAACTTTTCTTTGACGATTGTCAATACATCAAAAATGCTGTCCGAATGCAACTTGTGGCAAGAAAAGCACTCCGTAAACATGTTTTCTAGCTAGCTCATAAAACTGTACAGGTGGCTAGATGGATACAACAGTCCACCTTTACTAGAGTATACAGTTGGGCATGTTGGTACATATATATGCTCATGAAATTCTAAAATGCACTTAACACTGTTTGTCACATGCGCGCAATTTGTAATCTATCAGATACCTCTTTCATGCGGTAAACACTACATAGGACAAACTGGCAGGTGTATTAATGACCGGCTCCGCGAACACGCTTGCAACGTAAAAAATGGTCGAGATGTTTTTTTTGGCACTACATTGCAGCACGTGTGGCTGCAAACCACTTTTTCATGGTACGGTAATCATAGGAAAAAACAAAAATAAAGTGACAAGGGAGATTATTGAAGCAGAAAGGATCAGTAGATTAGGGCTGAACTGCGTCAGCAATCCTTCTCTCAGTCTTTGTGAAAAATAATTGTCGTTTTTGAGATCATAAGTTTTTAGCGCATGGCAATAGAGGGTTTTTCATCTGTTTGTCTGTTGTGTTCGAATTGCATGAGCATATATATGTACGCTCCTCGAAATGAAGTTTTGTTGGAAGTAAGCGCTCCCTTCTGTCTCTTCCCTTGTCCTATGTTTCAAAACGCGCTACGTCGATTAAGTAAGTCCACCTTTGTCACGAAAGGTGGTTAGACGAGCGAGCTGAAAATCTTCTCCTTGAGCTAGCATCGTGAGTAGTGTTATGCAAACTTCGCAGTTTGTTTTAATGACACACTTTCACGCAACACAGCCAGCAACATAAAAGATCAGCGTGGAATCACTTCTAACAATATGCTGTTTGCGGTCAATAGGTGCTGGCACAAAACTAGGCTCATTCACAGTGCTTACACTGCCAACTGAATCGTCTTGTGGCAGTGTGGCAGTAGCAGCATTGTTCTCCAGCAATGAAGCTAGCTCGCCTTGGTCACAATTCCCCAGGCTAACTGTTTTCACGAGACCATAGAATGACAGACAAGTAATGGTTAGCAAAAACTGAGTTGGCGTGGGGTGGTCGTTGCTGCCGGATGACTGACGTATAATACCAAATAAATTTTCTAATGGGTCTTGGCTGGTCTTTGATGTCATTCTGTATTTAAATGCTACTTTCCCTGTCAAATAAGAAAGCATTTCTAGCACACTGGTTATAGTCACACGCAGTCCAGTCACGTAGATTATATGCATGTAGTCCCGTAGCACATACTTCGGCTGAAAATGAAGGTCACACACGGCAGATGTGTCGTCCAGGGCTTTGTCCGCTCGATGCAAATTTCCCATTGCTTCTTCAGGGCTGTATTCTTCGGAACGCCGAACAAAGACGGCTTCTTGCTGCCCTTCACGTGGACGTAACCTGTACGACAGCTTGCGCAAAACAGGGGTTTTGCCGCCGCGGAAGCATTTTAACCTCGTTTGAGGGCACTGCTTGTCAGGCCACATTACTGTTCGCCGAAGAACCTAGGGGATTGAGGATGCAAAGCGCGACGAGTTCTCAAAGTAACAAAACTCGCACACACCGACCACCACTCCAAACAGGCAGCAACTGCCCCAGCGCCAACGCTCGCTACATTTAATGCGGGGGTGGCGCCACGCCACGGAGGCGCGCCGAAGCACGTTTGTGTGACATTGGCGGCGTCACCGCAATGCATGGCGCCGGCCGGCGAGTGAGCCCACTACCCTATTCTAGCTCACTTTACCAGTACCCTTTAGATGGATAGATGGATGGATGAATATGGCTGTACCCTTTAGATCGGGCGGCGGCTAACGCCACCTAGTTGTCATACTGACTTAAGTTAGCCACTGTAGTATGACATGCGAGAACAGCGCTCGTCTCCTTCTTGTCCCTTTGTCGTCATTCAGCAGTTCTCGCGCTATAAATATCATACAGAATAGCACCCCGGTAGAATGGCAGTCCTTTAATCAAAACGTGGTGACAAACAAGAACAACAACAAAAAAACCTTGGTCTTTGTAGTTTGTATTTATTACCCCAAAAACGTGAGGTGCAAAAAAACATACGAAACTCGTAAGTTTGAAAGGTATATACATCCGGTTCCTGTTTCTTTTTGACATGGCGCAGGCTGTGTCACGCCGCTCGACTGGCACAAGTCGCTTTCTACTGCCTCGCAGTTGTCCAGTCGCTTCTGTCACGACGCAACAAACACTTTCTCCTCACTCGTGAAAGTTGATTCATAAGGCCGTCCTACGTTTGGTGTAGCTAGCTTTCGGGTAACTGCTCTCCACAGCGTCTCTTCGTATGGCGCCACGACCACTGGCTGCCGGCACCATGTGGGTAGAGCTAGGGCATTGACGTCGTGTCCTTCACGTCGGACCATTCGTGTTTTCGTTACTCCGTGCCGTCGTTTGTTCGCCGGCGGAGACTGAATTGTGCGTCGCCAATCCGTCGTGTCTTCTTCCCCTCACCTTTCATGCGGAGTAGCGCCCGTCGTGCGACGATTCCGACCGCCTCGAGAGCTGCCAACGATTGCGTGCCGTATGTGCTGAAGTTTGCGAGGACAACATGGTCAAGAAGAAGAAGAAGCATCAGGAGGATCCGGCGGACGACATCCTCGATTCCTCAAGCGATGAAGTTGGAGATGCAGCCGAAGGTAGCGACCAACGACCACATATTCATACACCATTGACAGTTCTCCGCGAGGATCCGATGAGCGTCGTGCCGCTGTGAGAGAAGCAACGCGCTGTGTTTTGTCGCGCTTTTGCTCCGTTGTCGGTCGTGAAAAGTGCCCTGTGCTGCCGTTTCCGAGGGCTGTCATTTAGTGCCGCTGTCTTATCCAGCCGTGTTGCGTTTGTGAAATGTTGCTGTTGAACGGATTAATTTTGAATTGAACGCCGCGTCCGCAGAAACTGACCTTATTGCGTGTCGCAGTAGTTGAGCTTACTAGTGGAAGAGGACTGCCATGGGCAGCAAAAAACATCATACACCTTTTGTGTCAATGTGTTACTGCCCCGCCGTGGTGGTCTAGTGGCTAAGGTACTCGGCTGCTGACCCGCAGGGCGCGGGTTCGAATCCCGGCTGCGGCGGCTGGATTTCCGATGGAGGCGGAAATGTTGTAGGCCCGTGTGCTCAGATTTGGGTGCACGTTAAAGAACCCCAGGTGGTCTAAATTTCCGGAGCCCTCCACTACGGCGTCTCTCATAATCATATAGTGGTTTTGGGACGTTAAACCTCACATATCAATCAATCAATGTGTTACTGGGGGTTTCACTTCGAGAAACTCCGCTAGGGCGTCCATGACGCTAGGGTGACCCTTGACGCTGGGTTTTACGCTGTTGATTCTCGAGCCTTTATTGCTTACATCAATCAGATCGATAAGTAGTAGCAGAGTCCTTCAATACTTTTCATTGCATTGAAAAGCATTGAAGGATTCTGGTAGTAGTTAGAGATGCCAAATTCGAGTCAGCTTATCCTTCTGGCAGCTGTTTGCAGGCAGCATACACAAATCAATATCACCCTAACATAATAATAGTGTTCTGATTAAATTACACCGTGCAAGTTCACTCAAGTCATGTCAGAGCACCTTACGGGCTCAGGAACTTCATTTCTAAAGCAAAGTGTCAATAAAGTTGCTGAAGAACAGAAACTAGCCCACACCGAACTGATGTTTCACCTGAACGTTTCATTAGCTTCTGTGATTACCTCGGAGTGCAGTACCTTTAAAGGGGCCATGAACTGTCAGTGAAAAGTTAAGCAGAGGTACCAGTGTGTCTGTGCATATATGAAAAACAGACTGTAAATTAATATTTATGTGCAAATTAAGCGCTAGAAGTTACCGTCTATATAATATCTTCCCACCGCTGGTGACTACTATTTAGACGTGGCTTGTGTGTGACATGACGCGCTGCATAAAATGAACCCGTCTTCTTCCAAAGTTTCAGCCACTGCGAAGCATTCCATTTCAACGCCAAGCTCGGAAAGCTTAAGTAGAAACCAAGCTTGTACAGAACCAAACTTATTTTCAGCTTCTTGGATTGCACATGTAGCTGAGTATGTGGCAAAAACATTTATCAAATGCAGACGCTTGCACAGCAAGCAGACTGTTACGTCACAGCTTGCAAGTGTGCCAGTGTTGCCGACTTTCAGGCCAGCTTGTTTGTGAATGCACTAGGATTAACACGAAAAACTGATTATGATGGAAAATCGGGTGTCATGGCCACTTTTTGGCATACTGACATGAAAATATTTGTCTGTTTTCTTTTTTTTTCATCAATGCAGTTTGTCTCAAAAGCTAGTTTCGGTTTCTATAGTACCCTAACTTCGCAGCCTGGTATGAGCTTCTCATCACATGCTTGCACATGGTGCAATGACATTTCCATGGCCGCTCCGTTACCTTGCCTTTGTTGGTGACACGCAGGCAGCCATGTTGAATGTTTTAGTGATGCACAGGCGGCCACATTGAAAGTTTTCATACCTGGTGTGATCACAACCAACCAGAATGCTGCAGAAGTCACCAGAATTAGTACTTCAGCCTAATGCAAACCTACTGTTGTCTGCAGCTATGCCATCGGAAAACTCATTCTAATATCGGAATGAATTATCTTGTCAGCATTTCCTAAGAGAGCCGTCTCCTTATGCAGGAGATTTGAATGGCAGAACAAACTGCCTTTGAAATGGTGTCGCTACCCCTTTGAAGGAGCACTGACCAAAATTTTGTATCTTGATTTTTTTGTTGCAATAAGTAGCTAAAGATCCACTTGTCACAGCCGGAAAGTATAGGTCCGTTCAATTCACCTGCACCGGTCAGAACCGGTTCATGGCTGTGCACGCGAAGTTCAGAAATTGTGCAGCGTGAGTTCAGCGGTGCAGGCAGAGCACGACACCTGAAACAAATGACGATGTGCCGACAAGGTGTTGGCCTTATTTCTTTTCGGTTAATTTACACAGTTCATCAGACACTGACCTATGGTGAAACGCACATGCGGACAGTTTATGAGGCGCAAACATCTTGAAAATACACAGCGCGTTTGTAGAGGCAGGTACGGCGCCTAAGCCACCTACGTCCAAGTGCTGCGTCGTCTGCTCAGCTGCACGCGCGGCTGCACCAAGCCGGCACCATCAGCGAAGGAGGTGCAGGAAAATCGTGAACCGGTGCTGCACCTTTCGAAACGAATGGCAGGGTTCAGCGGTCGTCAATGCTGCACCGCTGAAACGAATGGCAAGGTGCAGCACCTTGTGAACTGGTTCACGTGGTGCAGGCGAATCGAACGGACCTTATGTTTGCTGGAGCGTGCAACAGACAATTATTTGTAAAGATATTTATACTGCTCAGCCGCAGTTTCAATTTAAAAGAATGCTGAGTGAGACAGGACTTGGAGTGGTTATCGTGTAAATCTAGTTGGCGAGTCCACACAGATCTATCGCACAAGTTATCTCGCCTTCAGAATTTTGTGTCAGTACTTCTTTAGGTACTAAAGTGAGTTACATACCTGGAAGCCTTCAACCGTGCTTTGTAAAATGCTGCCCATTAAAGGGCCCCTGCCACACTTTTTGAAGTAATGACCTAATGGCTTCATTAAAAAAGCTTATTGCCTTGCGAATTAACTTCCACAGAAATTTTTAGAATCCGTTTAGTACGAGCGAACAGAATGCTTCACAGCAAGAGGAATGACAAGGGACCAAGAACATGTATCAGTGTGCATTGTGACTTTGAGCACTTTCTTTGCATTTTTTCTTTGAAAGCCAAGCTTACTTTCAGTGCGATTACGAGCGAGCACAGGCACGCGGCAGAATCCCATGGCGGCCGTGGTAACTACGCAGCTCACAATACTCGAATTATCCAGCGGCCATGTACTTTTGGTGTATGACTCAGTAATTTGGTTACATGACATCATTTGTAGGAAGAAGAGGCGGTGATTTCTAGCTTACTATGAGAAATAATTGTAAATTCTGGGCTGCATGCTGTTCTGTAATGTTTGACTCGTGTGTTCTCTCAGAAGTTTTGGCTACCGGTCTGCAACGTTTTCTGACCATACTGAAAAAAGTTTACTGAAGTAAAGTACCTAATTGGGCTAGTTGGGAATGTACTCCTCACAATCAGCGCAAAAAAAGTACACAAAAACACAAGGAAAGGCACGACACAAGCATGATGTAACAACTTTGTTACACAGCGCTTGTGCCATTCACTGGGATGTGTTATTGTGTTCTTTTTTTCTGCGCTGATCGTGAAGAGCGAAAAAAGTTTGTAGAGGCAGCTTTAAGCTAATAAAATAACCGTTACAAAAATGTTTCCACAGGAGGTTCCACAACCTGCTCTCACCAGCGTAGCTCAGTCGGCTTGCGTCGGCTACGGCAGCAGGTGCTGCGAAATCCGGTGCGACTGGACGTGTGCGACGACTGTGAGGATGGTGAGGCACAGCCCGAGACGTGGCTGTGCCTGCAGTGCGGCCATCGAGGTTGTGGTGGGACGGCAAAGCATGGAGTGCGCCATTCGGAGACTCCGCGCTCAGACTCGCATGCCCTTGCACTCTCGGGTCAGACACTGCAGCTGTGGTGAGCAGACATAAGTTTCTATGTTTGCTTTAGTTATTTATATATTTTGCTCCCAGAAAACTGTGTCTGGGCTGGACCATCATTGCAGTGGAGGGTGTGGGCCTAATTTTAAAAACAATGAAGTGTGGTTCAGGTTGTGCATTCCTTGATTTTTAAATATTAAAGGGAACAATGAAAGGCCTTTAATCTTCTGAAACAGTTAGCGTGTGTGTGTCGCACTTAGCTCACTTCATGGTCATTTCATCGTTGCTTTCAGGTGCTTTCCTTGCAACAACTGGGTGGAGGCTAATCCACAGGTGACACAGATAGTACAGAACCTGAAGAAAAAAATGGCTTCCAGCAGCAAGAAAGCCAAAGGTTGGTGCTGCTTGTTGCTTGGGATTTGTTTGGTGGGATGCATTTGCTTGAAAGATATCGTCAAAGTGCTTGGTGCTATTCTCCGTGCATGCTAATAATTTCTATTCATTATAAAGGATTGCCTATTTATTGTAAGTCTGCAGCTGCAAGTCTTCTTTTCTAGAAAACACTTTTACTTTTCATCCAAGTCTGAAATGGTGAGATAAAGCTGTTCTTAGAGTACAACTAGATTTGCTGTTCTTTTTTTTTGCTTGCTCCTATTTACTGTATATATCACACTGAATTATGTTTCCTATGGTTGCATTGTTTTTTGTGCAGTTTAGTCATCTATGTGACTGATAATTGCATTGTGTAAAAATTAGCACTGGAGCGTGTCTTACATTGGTGTTGTTTGTCTCAAAGACCGTTTCACGTTCCACGGTCAGTATTTGTAGGAGTGCAGTCCCAGTCATCCAGAATAGCGCACGTTTGGCCGCTGCAAGAACACTGCCGTCACTGTCTGGTTGTCTGTGCGCAGCAGCGGTAGTCCAGGTGGAAGGTGAAGAGCCGGCAGCGGAGACCAACGGTATTGATGGTGGAGGTGGGGACATCGAGGAACAGAAGGTGCCGCAAGGCACCTGGACAGCAGTGAAGGGTCTCAGCAATCTTGGCAATACCTGCTATTTCAATGCTGTTCTTCAGGTAGGAACTCTTTTTTTGTTGACTTAATTCCATTTGATATGCATAATGTAGCATCATTTTTATTACTGACTGCGATTTGGGGTTGCCTACTCGGGGATTGGGCTGTAGAATGCAGATAGTACTTGCCTGAATCACCCTCAAGCAAGAGGCGGGAGCTCCTGTTCAATACATTCACCTTTCACATTTTACATTCAGGAGGCAACGATTGACCATGTCAGTAGACGTTACATCCCGCACAGTGACATGATTATGTGACTTGAAGAATGGTTTGTTAGGTGCCAGAAACTTGTTTGTAGATTTGATGGAGATGTTTCATTAAAACTGGCTGATACTACGGTTCAAACTTGTTGCTAAAGGTAGCTCTCTTCAGTCCACTAAATGCCATGTGCTTGGCCTGCATCAAGCACGCAAGCATTAAATGTGTAGAAGATACTATGAGTTGATCTATACACAAGGTAAAGTCAGTAAATGACTATTTGGGTCTTGAGAATTTCTGGTTTTGATATTGTTCAAGGTACACTTATAAAAACAGGAATGTAACATTGTGTAAAAATCAGTTTGACAATATCCGGGTGCACATAGTTTTGCAGCAGCCTCAGATATTGGTAAAAAATGCTATCTCTAGCACTCGTTAGGGCACTGTTTGTTTATTCCATAATCTAGGCATGCATCTATCTATGCAATTTTTCTTTCTGTTAATGAAAGAGGGTCGTACTTTTTCCGTGCAACCAGAGTAGACTTGGAATAAGCTCTTCAATGGTAGGGACAAAAAATAAAATAAAATAAAGGGCCCCTAAATTGCTGTAACTTCTTTGGTTTGTGCTGAGATGTTCGTTTGTTTTAGGAGGCTTTCTGCAGTCTTTGGGAGAACAAGCTTCACGAGTGGTAAATTCTCACATGTTCAAGAAATGCATAGAGAGGAGCACAAGCAAATTTATTTCTACTTTGTGCTAGTGTCCTCGTAGATAGTTGCACTTCCACCTAATGTGGTGGGTTATATTATGAACTTGGTTCAAGGATGTGGTACAGCCATGAAATACTCCATTGTCTGTTTCCCTTTCTTTAGTTGGTGTCTGTATAGGTGAGTCTTTCTGTGAGGGACTCCCTAACAACTAGCCTAACATTGTATCACTTTGAGCTTCGTATGATTGATTGTTTTCTCGGTTCTCCTGCTGGAGATGTGAACATGGTATGGTTTGGTAACATAACTCTTAATCTTCAGTCATGCTACAGAATATACTCTTTTGAGTGCTTTAAAATAACACGTTTGTGATACGCATAGAGGTGTTCATGATGCCCATAGACCCAACTTGAGGCTGATTAGCATACTATGCTCGCGCTTCTCATGACATGCTTATGGATTTGCAGGGCCTCGGCCAGACGCCACTGTTACAGCCGTTGCTAGCCAAGAGGTGTGCTTCCAAGCTAGAGTGCACATTTGATCCTGGTTCAACAGTAGAGGGCTCCGAAACACCAGAATTGGTGAGATTTGCTACGACTACCTGCAATGCACTCTTGGTCACGGTACTGCGCATGCATCTTTTTTGGCGGCTGTTTGAAAAGAAAATCGATTGTGGGTAGCTTGAGAAAAGGTTACCCTTGCAGTCGAACTCCCAGTGGTAGGCCTACAAACGTGGTACACTCGAGCCTGTTCGTTGTGCAGGGTTCCTTAAATGTGGAGCTTCCTGGACCTGGCCCATTGACCAGTGCCCTGGCCCTGTTCCTTCAAGAGCTCCGAATGGGAAGTCCCCATCCGAGAGCATTATTCTCGAAGGTCTGCCAAGTGTAAGGAACCCTGCCTCTCAGTAGTCAACATCTTGAGCCTTCAAGTAATCAGGGAAGGGGGATTTTTCATGAAAAAACACGAATGCCAGTCTGAAGTAGCTCAGCGAAGGTGAAAGTGGGGCTTTCGTGATACCCTTTCAATTCGATGTACACTCAGACCTCTTTGTAACGAGGTTTCATCGTACACAAAAACAAGTTTCTTATATCCGAAAATTCTTTATAAAGGTATATTTTTGACACTATATCTATTGCAAGAGTATTCTTCTTTTACTTCATTGTAACCAATATTTTGTAATATCTGGGATCGTTATATCAAGGTTTGTGGGTATAGTGGCTCTTCCACAACTCTTTTGAGCAGCCCAATATATTCCTTACACGTCATGAAAATAGTATATATTGAAAATATGTGCTGCTGAGCTTATATACGGAACCAAACCTATTTTTCAGCTTCTTGTCCAGTTGATAAGGTGCAAATTGCGTTTACGTGGAGTGCAGATCCTATCCCATTTCTAAACTTATCAGCATCTCACTTCATTTCGATTAAGTGAACTTTGAGAAAAAGGTTTATTTTGATCATCCCTTTGCATTTGTCCACTGTGTTGTGATGTCACACTACTATGGTGGTAACTTCCTATGTTCACAAAAGGATGCCACAATAAAATCATGCAGACCAGCAACCGTTATGCACTGCACTGTGATCCGTGATGAGGGAATGCATATAAGGTTGCCTGAGAACGAAATGTGGCCCAAATTTTCGGTGCTGGCTTATCATTTGTGGTTTGCACCACAGGGCACCGCACTTCCGAGGCCACCAACAACACGACAGCCACGAGCTTCTGCGTCACCTGCTTGAAGGTGTGCGTGCTGAAGAGGTCAAGGTATGTCTTGGTGTTTCGTATGCTTACTTATTGTATCTCCTAACTTCTAAATCTAATAGCCACTAAACCACTGTAACACATGTGGAGCTTGGATAAAAAAAAAATTACAGCATATTCACGGACTGAATGAAGATAAGTAAGGTGAAGCATCCATCAGTCTGTTTGTGCATCCATCTGTCCGTGTGTCTGTCTGCACGTCCGTCGGTCTAGTGAACACTCCAAGTACCATCATCTCGCACCTTTCATCATATATTGATCATATACAAGTACAGTAAAACCTCGTTATAACGAAGTAGGATATAATGAACTTACAGATATAATGACGCAATTGTAATTCCCCTTGAAATTTCCATAGATGCCCATGTATTTTGAAACCTCATTTTAACAAAGCGAGAATTTCCTCGCAATGGATATAACAAACCATTTCTCGTTTGCAGTGACTATTTACTGATCATTTTGGTATACGTCAATTCAATATCTTGGAGTGCGCGACAGTTTACGTCTCATCACGGCTGCGATAATTCAAAACTCGTGCCTTGCGCTCCCCAGTAGCCGCTTGCAACCTGCCAACCTGCGTGCGGGAGCGAGTCTCCGTGCCTCCCCTTTCCTCAGGAACTAATGGACTCGCCCTCGCAGCAACTCCGCTAGCGTGCGCATCAACCAGCCTCTCCTCTCCTGTAGAATCTGTTGACCTGCCCGCGCATCTGACCTCCTTCTCCCCTTCAGCTCAGTGCCGGGGCCTTGCGCGCCGCCGGGGCGGCCAGTAGAGAAATATAGCTATATAAAGAGTGGCCACTGGAGCCTTTCCGCAGCCCAGCAAGAAAGGGTCTGACCAACCGCTAGGTGGCGTACCCATCCTCGCTCTTACTCCTTTTTTAAGACATTGTAATAGCCTCCTCAGGAGGACAGTGAATACCCAAGTATGGCATCCATTTTTTGCAAAGAAGATATTTTATTATTTTCCATATCCGCTATACATCATGTCCCTGCTGAGGACATTTAATTCCTTACAACAGAAAACAGTAAATTATCACTAAAAGTGTTGCTTTCTGCTATTTGTTTTACACAAACAGGCACATTCATGTGGTTTAGATGTGCTGTACATGTATTCCCATTGTAGAAGCATGGATGCGTAGCCTAGTAGTAAAGACCCTTGCTTTCGGAGCATGAGAGTTTGAGTTCAAATCCGAGCATCGAAAAGAAAAGCATTTTGTTATTTTATTTATGCTAAAGACATTATCGGGTCTGACCAACCACTCTTCGCACTGAAAGCAGCGCAGTAGCTGGGCCGCAGGGCCCTGCGGGAGTGTCCGCTTTTTATGTAAGTATGTTTCTCTATGAGGCAGCGGAGATCGTAAAGTTTGTCCTTGTCGTTCGCTATGGAAGAGCAACACTACCTCTGTCAGTTTCTGCCGCTAAACATGAGATAGACAACTGGTAGTGGCAAACGTAAGCACAAAAATATACAATCGAGCAGAAGTCGGCAATGTTGAAAGCGGTTGAGTCTGGCGTCAAGAAAAAAAAAAAGTGGCTGAAGATTTCGGCGATGTCGTTGGGTGCCGCGGGCCATAGAGTTTCCCACAATACTAACTAGAGGGAACTCTGGCGCTAGTGTCTATGGGAGTTGCAACACACGGCGCTTCAGCGAGCATGGGAATGATGGGTAGTACACACATTTGTCTAATTTTCGTACTTATGGCCTGCTTCTGGCTCCGTGCGTGTTCGTGTGCCTTGGAGCTGTTTTTTCACAAAAACATAAATTAGCAAATGTTCACCAGTTTGCACTTCAGAACATTATTCTTTTAAGCTTACTATTTCGAATCAAGTCCTTAAGTTCAAAAAGGTTCGTTCTTTCTTTCAAAACAAAACCGTAACCAGTAATAAACAAAGCCGCAAGTACGATTCGCCACCCGCAAGTACGAAGACTAAGCAAATGTGTGTACTACGCATCATTCCCATGGTCGCTGAACGATCGCAGCGCCAGAGTGCCCTCTAGTTAATTTTGGGAAACTCTGTGCCGCGGGCGACCAGGGCACAGGCATCGTGGGACGCTCTCCTTCACGCCGGTGTTGTGCCTGACTGCGACATTTTCTGCATGTACATGGGTGTCGATGCTGACGCGGTGACAACCGAACAGTTGTCAGATACAGAAATTGTGCCGAATGAAAAAAACAAAAAACAGTGAAGTGGAAACAGTGATGAATGTGTCGACACCCCAGAGCCTAATGTTGGCGAACCCGACGCCCGCGCAAGCGCTGGAATCAACAGACCTACTGTGCTGCTTCTTTGGTGCTTACGATGACATCGAGAACTGACTCGAAATAGCTGCTGCAGCTGAAAAAGCAGTCATCCTCATGAGGAAGAGTCGGCAAAGTCAATAATATTAAGGACTATTTTTCTTCCAAGTTATCTGCCAGCTTGTATGCTGGAGTTGGTGGAAATAAAGTGCATTGTTCTTTGTTATTTTGCTATTTTTTGCCTTCCGGCAGCCGTTTTTCTCTGCGTGGCGAGCTGCTGTGATATCCGTTAGTGCGTACATTCTCCCTTGCTGGCTAATTGCTGGCAGAAATGGATATTGGCCATTGCGAACTAATGGTTATAACAAAGTAATTACGACCACCTCTTCAACTTCATTATAATGAGGTTTGACTGTACCGCCATATAACGGACATTCCAAGAACTAAACGAGAAGTGGCTACCAACTACATACATCGAGGAAGCACGACCCGTGACTTAAGGAGCTTCAACATTCCAAGAACTAAACGAAACGTGGCTACCTCTCGTTTAGTTCTTGGAATGGTGGCACATCCGCCACCGATTGTTACAAACTTGTATGTGCCACTGGTGGTTACAAGGGATGACGGGATGAATGACTGACGCCATAAGGAGCTTCGCCCCAAAAAGAGAGAGAGAAAAAGACGAGCTATAAAGCTGATTGTTACAAAAGTTTTTGCTGCCTTAATGCATGTAGAAAGGGGCAAGCTTGAAGGAATTCAAGTTACTTGGCTAAATTGCCAAGTTAGTATTGATTGTGTTCTCAACTGTTTTCTCTTGATCGCGGAATGAAATCCCGGCCATGGTGGCCACATTTCCGATGGAGGCAAAAATGCCAGAGGCCCGTGTGCTTATATTTAGGTGCACGTTCAAGAACCCCAGGTGGTCAAAATTTCCGAAGCCCCCAACATGGTGTCTCTCATAAACATGTGGTGGTTTTGGGACGTTAAAGGAGCACTGACATCAAGTTTACTCATGTCAAGATTTTTGCGCCAACGAGTAGCTATTGTTACGCTTCATTTTACGCGAACCCCTTTGGGCCCAAATGCAAGACCACGGACAGCGTGCGAACGCTCCCGGGCCTGTAAACGTATCGGGGGTAGAGGCGCAGAAGTGTATGCCCAGACGCCGAGGAACCTGAGACGCTGCTGCCGCGAAGGTCGTCATGTGCTGTGCGCGAGAACGCGGTGAGCTCGTGGCTCATTCGCACCTGGCTCTTGAGTGTGGGAACGCCGGTGGTGGGATCCGTGGCGCGATCAGTCGCGTGATCGGTGGCGTGACCAGTGGCGTGGTAGGTGGTGCGAACACAAGGTGTTCCATATTTGGTCATGTCTGGAGGCGCCTGACGTCACACAAGCGTCTGGAACCCTTTAAAAACGCGCAGGGAGAGACTGGGTGGAGCAGTCTGGATTGAGACTCTGCCGGAACTCTGCTCCTCGGCTTCTTACCTTTGTTTGTAAACTTGAATGTCCACTTTGGTCTAACTATGTAGTATTAAACTCTTTTGATTTGCTGTTCTGCGCCGTCTCGCCGGTACTTCCCTTCTCGTCGGTCCTGATGTAAGTTACGAGCACAACCTGCTGACGGCGGCGGTCAAGAGACACCCGTAACAACTGGTGGCAGCGGTGGGATGCTGCAGTCATTTCGACGACTCGAGGGCTGAGCTGCGACACGGATCCACGAGCCGTCTCGTCTGCCAGGCCGCAACCAGATGCAGTGTTTGCGAGGGTCTACGCGGAATTCTTGGCTGTTGAGTGGTGAGTGCGGGGCTTTGTCTGCTGAGTTTTGCCAGGCTTTTTCAGTGGGGAAGCATAACTGGTAATTCGAACTATTGTTGTCGCCAAAGTGGGCTGCGGCAAGATAGTTGTGTACAGTAGGAAAGGTCGCACTGAACACAGCCATGAATTTGAAGTTGCTGCGTAAAGCGGAGTTATTACAGCTTGCAAAGGAGTTGCGTTTGGATGTTTCTGACGCACTCCGGAAACCAGAATTGATCGAGGCTATTAGTGCTCTGGAGGCTGAGGAAGATGAGCTGACGGAATGCCTTGAGATAATTCGAGAAAGGGAAGCCGCAAAAAGACAGGCAGAGGAGCGTAGAGAACAGCAAGAGAAAGAGCGTGAGGAAAGGGAGCTCGAATTAAAAACGACTCGAGTTTCAACGTTCGAGAGAGCGCGAGGAACGCGATCACGCGCTCGAGTTAAAGCGACTCGAGGTTGAAATAGAGCGCGTGCGAACGGCAGGGCAGAGAAGCGAGGCAAACAGTGCAGGGGTGCACATATCGCTCAAAATGACAGAACTAATTCGCCATTATAAACTCGGAGAGGACATTGGGTTGTTCTTGGTGAACTTTGAGCGGACGTGTGAGAAGCAGGGGTTCTCCCGTGAGTCGTGGCCACAGCGCTTGCTCACACTCTTACCTGGCGAGGCAGCAGAAGTAATCGCTCGTTTATCCACTGAGGAGGTCGACGATTACGATAAAGTAAAATCCAGTTTGCTTAGGAAGTACAGGCTGTCCGCGGAGGCATTCCGGCGGAAATTCTGTGAATTGGAGAAAGGAAGGAGTGAGTCATACACTGAATTTGCCTATAAACTGAAGTCAAACATGGTGGAATGGCTAAAGAAGGAGAAGGCCTTCGGTGACCACGCAAAGGTTATTGAGTGTTTTTTACTAGAGCAATTCTACAACCGGTTACGAGAGAACATTAGCAAGACAGGCCAGATGTTA